AAACCCTAAACCCAAACCGCAAAACTCGCCGAGTGAGGGGACCTTGGGTCTCCAGCTCTTCCTACGCCTGACTTTTCGTGCATTCGAAGGTATGTTCTGTATTAGCGGATATTGCAGTATTCTACTGTCGGATTCTACACTACATGTCTACATTATATGTTTAGTTTGTCTTTTCAAAGTTTGTTATCTCAGTATCGCTGTCAGGTTTAGGGCTTTTTGGTTTCGGCTCCATGGCTTCCCTACTAAGCCCCGAGCCCTAAAGCCCGAAACCCAACTCCCCGAAATCGGCTGCACTACTGTCTGGTGCNNTGCTTAGTAGGGAATGGAGGAATGGATCCCTATGATAGTCCCTTAAAGTCCCTTATAGTAATCCCTATAACCCATTCCCCCATTCCCTAAACCCTAAACCCTAAACCCTAAACCCTAAACCCATTCCCTACTAAGCATCAGACAGACTATCCCGACGCGACACTGAGGATTCCTGCGCCCGTCGAAGCAGTACCGGTCAGAGGGGTGCCTTGCTTGACCGACAGAAATACTTAAAGGATCATGGGACTTAGTAAGTAGGGTTTAGGGTTTAGGATTTAATTAGGGTTTAGGGTTTAGGGTTTAGGGGTTTAGGGTTCAGGGTTTAGGGTTAAAGGATCATGGGACTTAGTAAGTAGGGTTATAATTAGGGTAACTATACTTATAACCCCAATTAAGGGACTTATAACCTTATTCACTAAGTCCCATGATCCTCCAAGTAGGCTTTCTGAAAACAAGGGACCTCCCCGAGACGTCGGGTGCAGGATCTTCGCTCTTGGACTGGGTGCCCACCCCGAGGTGTCGAAACCCCAGGTAGTGCCGGCATCCATGAAGTTAAGTGCACAGTAGACTGTAGCATGGTTATGCAATTTGCTTCTTGCGATGTTGATGCTTTGATAGATTCAATGGTGTTACGTGTTAACTGTAGGCGAGAGTTGTGAGGCGTGTGCTGTGCACGGGTAATTACAGAATGCAAAATGGCGACGGCGAAGGAAGGAGTGTGTGCTATTTCAGAATACTTGCTTCCTGATGCAGAACATGTGTGACAAAAGCTTAAAGTATAAAGGCCAGTCTCCAACATGCGAGATATCGGAGATTTGCGGGCGGGCAAGCGGACACTTTCAAAGCAGCTGAAACGCGTAAGTATCAATTTCGGCCCTTCCTTGCCCCAACAATCCGCAGAAGACAGTAGACGCGTGCTTTCTTGTGTTTGCTTTAACTCCTTCACATCTCGTTCATCCCCGAGGTGGGCAATGCGGCAGCACTCGAAAGTGTACTTGGCAAGTCGCAACAGAGCCCTCCTGGCGTATGTCAACAATCGCCGCCGCCGCAGACTCAGCTTCCATACGGTGCACTTGTGATCTGCGTGGGTCGGGATAGATTTCAACTAGAAGACGCAATGCCGTCTCCTGCATCTCTGGCTTCACGATGCACACGCGAGAAGGTCAGAAGGAGTTGTTTTATCAACAAGGTTTTTGAAAGCCTCTTGTATTCTGGTGCCGTCGGTTCCAAGCACCAATGTTGTAAAGCTTTCCGATGTGTCCTTTAGCCAGTACCCACAAGCCCACCTCACCCTTATAACCGCGCGATTCAGGACATCCATAGTTCGTGATCCAAAGTCCCAACACACTGTCATGCTTGATGTGTCTGAAAGCTCTGGATCCTCAAACGGTGGTCTTTCCTTTCAAGGCCCTCATATTAACTTCAGGTCCACGTTCTGGTGCCGCAGTTGCTGAAACTTCCACGTAGTCGCTCATGAGGGATGCTGTTTGACCAGCCATATAAATGCAATGCAACAATACCCATCACTAAACTTATGGGGTTTAAGTTGTGGGGGTTGCGGGGTTTGGGTTTGAGAGTTAGTGCCCAATTAGGGTTTAGGGCTGCATGTCCGGTGTTTAGGTTCTAGGCTTCAGGGTTTAGGGTTGGCGGTTTGTGTTTAGGTTAGTTGTTCGCCACAAAATGGAACATCAAGGGCCAAGCCTAACCACCGCACTCCCGATTTATCGACACATGGTCATCTCCCATTGGTGACTACAAGCTCGTCTTGCCCATATTTGTGGACTTCGTAATTTCGAGAGACTGCGGACCCCCTGCAGAGCACGGTGTTGTGGATTCTCGAACCACTCTGACAGTGACTCTACAGGAGTTTCAGTAGGAAAGGTCTACAGAAGCAGATTGAGAGTCCGAGAAGTCTGGTGGCATCAGGATCTTAAACTTGAACCTAAACCTCACGGTCAAGAGCTTTCGGGTGACTTTGCGGGGCTCGAGTAGTCGTCGCAGCCAAGCTGACTCCAGCTGTTGCACTGAGGCTGCTGAAGCCAGGCCAAGGGCAGCGCTGCATCTGCAACCTGGGAGGTGCTTGGACTTGTTGATTGTCATTGGTTGAGGGGTTTAGGGCTCAGGGGGTTTAGGGTTTAGGGGGAGGGCTCCTCTGACATCCCGGATTAGCCATGAGTCCTTCATCGTGCCTGGCGCACCTGCCGGCCGCTCCAGACACGTTGACACAAGCATTGAAGCGCTTTCAGCTAGGAAGCATATGGGGTTCATGGTACACTGCCAGTTCCGGGCTTGAGGGTGAAGCGAAGTCGAGTTGGCAAAGCATGAAACCTCAACCAGATGGCTGGGCGAGTCTACGATGCAAGCCCAGAGAACCCAGTACCCCTTAATTAAGGAATAGACCTTAAACCATAATAATAATAATAATAATAGTAATAATAATCAGAATAATAATCAGAATAATAATAATAAGGGCCTATAATTTAAGGTATATCCCTTAATTGAGGTATATTGGGCTCTCTGGGAAGCTATGCTGCCATGAAGTCTGACTCAGGAGCTGAGTAGGTGACCTTTAACCGTTTGGGGCTTGTATGATCCTACTATAAATTCAAAAGGTTAACCTTTTCGGGCTAGGGTCCTAAACCCTAAACCCTAAACCCTAAACCCTCAGCCCCCAAGCTGAGGCTTGCTCTCGAAGCTGCCTCCGAAGATCTTCCAGACCATGGCTGTGAGAGATTACGCGAACGCTCTTCACGCAAGCAAGGCCGAACCTGAGAACCCTGGGGTTTAGGGTTTAGGGTTAAGGATTTAGGGTTTAGGGTTTAGGGTTTAGGATTTAGGGTTTAGGGTTTAGGGATTACCCGAACATCAGCACGACTGACACTTCGTTCGCTCAGATCCCTCCGGGCCGGGGTATATCTTATAAGTACCATATACACGGTAGTTACGAAGACGGTGCGTCACCAGGACGATCCCGAGAGTGACTCCTTTGAAACTTGGATGTAGTGCCGTCTTCGGATTGAGTAGCAAGTAATATAGGGGCCTGAATAATTAGAATAAGGGTTTCGGGGCCCATTTTACTATAACTATAAGAAGGAACCCCCCCCCAAAAAAAAAAATAGTATAGGTAATTATTAAGGCCCCTACATTAGCTAGAAACCCTTGTGCAAACCCTGGGCACAGCATAGGCCATGAGATGCAGCAGCAGATGCATAGCTGGAGTTTTAGAGCCTGGGTGCCCTTGGCTCCCCTGAGTTATAGGGGTCTAGGGTTCAGGGTTTGTGTTTTTGTTTTAATGGGTTTTGGGCCAAGCTCTCAACCTCAACAAGCCAGGCCCAGCGGCTGATCTTCCAGAGCGGCTGGTCGGTACAGGTGGCTCTTGGCTCGGGCTGGCTGGCAAGCGGGGTCCTTCCCGATGTGCGCCTGACGCAGGCCGGGCGGGTTTAGGGTTTAGGGTTTAGGGTTTAGGGTTTAGGGTTTAGGGTTTAGGGTTTAGGGTTTAGGGTTTAGGGTTTAGGGTTTAGGGTTTAGGGTTTTGGTTTGGAGTTTAGGGTTTGGGTTTACAGGGTTTGGGGGCTCCGAAAGCCCACCCGGGCCCTACAAGAAACCTACAACCCCTGGGCTCCTTATAAGGGTTTATGTTTAGAGTTTAGGGTTTAGGGCTTAGGGTTTAGGGTTTAGGGTGACTTATTTAGAGGGGTCCTTAAAGGGTAGGAATACTTTAGGCATCTGCTTCGGCGCATCAGGTTTCGAGCGTCCCTGTCGATATTTAGAGGACATCTTAGCAATCTATGGCTCGTCCTCTTTTTGGAGCTTATAGATGTTCACCTTATATGTGATTATCTGTATAAACACACACATATACATATATACGGACACACATACATGTGTGTATATATATATATACATACATGCATAGCTACATACAGATACACCTATCTATACAAAAATATACATACATACATACATACATACATACATACATACATGCATGCATGCATGCATGCATGCATGCATACATACATACATACATACATCTACGTAAGCGTATATATATATATATATACTAGACACGCGGGCGTGCTTCGCGCGCACTTGGTGTAGGCCTCGTTAACTACTGATCATTCCTGAGGTTCTGTACACCTGAAACTCTACAGGGATGCTAGTTCGGCAGAGAACGCTGGTTGTTTGTGTTTGGGTTTAGGGTTCAGGCGTTGTAGCGTGTGCTCGATTACATCAGGCGTGAAAGGAAAAGACGGCTGCATCATTGAGCGCCATTCGATCTGCGAATTGCGCAAACTATCATTAACACGCTTAGGGGGGTTCGGGGGGGAGGATGGGGGGGTCTGGGGAGGAGGAAGGGGTGAAATCAACGGAGGCGCTGACGCTTCTGCCAAATCTTTCACAATGTGCTTGCATCTGCAGCAGCTGTGAATCTTGGGTGGGACGTGGGAGGGGAGGGGGCGGGCTGCCTTGCAGAACATTGGGACTGCCCTACAGAAAGCCCAAATCCATTGCAGGGGCCGGGAAACCAACGGGGAGCTGGGTGCTATCTGTTTATATACATATGTATCTATGTGTATATATATATATATATGTATATATGTATATGTGTATATATGTACATTTGCAGATCCCACGTCAGGGAAAACCCTCCATGCTAAAGCCATGAGGTACTCTGCATCAGAAACCGTTAGCCTGCTTCTTAAAACCACAAGTCCCCAATGCCAAGCCCGAGAACAAACCCAACACCCTACTTTCCCCCAAACCAAAGTCCGGAAGCCGAAGCCGGAAACCTGCCAGACCCCGAAACCTTCAACTCCGATCCCCCTGGACCCCAACGACCCAAACAACCGTGTATGAACGCCCCACAACCCATTATCAGAACCGTAGTTGGAAGGAACCATAACAACCCCATGCAACTCCGAAAGCACCTATCAACCAAGCAAAGCTCGCAGGAAGAACTGGAGGAGTTGGTGCAGCGTTTGGGTCTGCAGGAGACCGTTTCGCCTGGGCTTGGCTCGCAGGGTTTATGCAGGGCCCTAATGATAGGAATAGGGTTCCTTTGAAAGGGTTCTTTAAAGGGCTCTAGGGGGGATCTAGAACAGGGTTCTATGCTATAGGGGCCTCAATAATTCGAACAAAGATTTGGGGTATGTTGTTCTATAATTCTAACAAGCAGCCCCAAAAGAGTGCAGGTAAGTATCTAGGTTCCCTATATTGTATTGGGTTCTGCTTAAGGGTTCCGCAGAGGGTTCGTTTCAGGGTGATATGGGGGTAAGCGGGTTTTGGGTTCAGGGCTTCAGCGCCTCAGGCTCTGTTATAGGGCTTCAGGGGTTTAGGGGCTTAGGGTCAAAGAACCCATGCTAAAGAACCATGCTAGGGCGTCATAAAGCCTTACGGACTACCCCGAAACCCTGAACCCCAAACCCCAAACCCCAAACCCTAAACCTGTCTGGCCCTAAACCCTAAACCCTAAACCCTAAACCCTAAACCCTAAACCTAAAAAAAAAAAACCTGTCTGGCTTAGGGACTTAGGGGGACTCTCGAGTTTAGTGACTTCGGGTCTCCGTTGTTCGGTGCACTGCGTGTTTTGTGGGGTTGACCGGTCTGGCTCCGGATTCCGAGAGGAGGTCTGGCAGCCTTCTTGGGATTTAGGGTTTACCTATAGTCTCCATTGTAGTTCGTTTTGGGGGATACCTTATAAGCTCGTTAATATATATGTATATATATATATATATATATTTGGTTAAACCAGAAAAGGAACTACAATGGAGACTATAGGTAGGGTTTAGGTTTAGGGTTGAGGGTTTAAGGGCCGCATTTCCTGCTGAATCTTGTGGGGAAGGGTCGTAGAGAAGTGAAGGGTGGAGGAGTA